ACAGCCCCTGCCACAAAGCAGCCCCCTTGTATGGGGTGGGTCCCAAATCCCCACTGGGACCCCCCACGGACAAGAGCTGCTTTTTGGCAGCAGCCTCCCTCCCCCCGCTCTAGTAGAGGCAGCAGTGGGGGGTGGGGGGCAGAACAGGCAGCACCATGGAGACGGTGCTGGGGGCAGGGCTGGCCCACAATATTTTGGCACCTGAGGCGGGGAGCTCAAATGACACTCCCATGCCCCCTCGCTTGGGCCAAAACTTTCAAAGGTCTCTTGTGCCCTCCTTCTTCCAACACAGCACTCCACCATCTCTGTGCATCTAGAACAGAGAGAATACATATGCACCAGCAGCAGACACAATTTTCTACACTCTGGGTCTTAGTGGTGCCCCAGTCTGGCACCTGAGACTGCCACCTCAGTTCGCCTCATGGTAGGGCCAGTCCTGGCTGGGGGCAACCAGCTTTTAAGCCAACTCTCCCCAGTACTGGCTCCTGCTTCTCCCCAACCCTTTGCTGCTTCTGATACAGAGGTAGCAAGGGGGAGGGAAGAATGTGAGTAGCTGACTTGACTACCTGATAAGCATGGTCTTATCAGGTAGTCGACTAGTTGACTACTCCCTTACATCACTAGTGTGGACAGTGCCAAAATTCGAGTTAAGATGCTTTGACTTAAGCTACGCAATTAACATAGCTGACGTTGTGTATCTTAATTCAAACTTATCCCCTAGTGCAGACTCGGTCAAAGGTGCCACAGGACTACTCGTTTTTAAAGTAACAGACTAACATGGCTACCCCGCTGAGACTGTTTGATGCAATATAGTTTAAATAAAAAGGGGGAAACCTATTTATAAAATGAACAATAATCCACAAGGATTTGGAGTTTTACAGTTACTCTGAAAACTATATCAATACTGAAATAATTTGTTGGGGCTCTTTTAAGCAATTTGAGTTGTTTCCACTGCAGTAGTTTTTGGATTTCTGAAGCTTACTAATTACAGAGCTAAATTATTATTCAGCAGATTCTCAATCTGGGCCTGATCCTGCTAGATACTGAAGGTCTCTAACAAGTTGATTGACTTCCCCAACTGACTGAAGTCTATGGTACCTTGCAGGAGCACAGCCACTATTCCTCTCTCCATTCTCTTGCTACTGACTGTGGTTAGAGGTAGGAAAATTGAAGAACACCTGGTTCACATAAACACTGCATTATAATACTGTCCCTCACAACCGTTGAGGTGAGATAGGGTCCTCTTCAGTCAAGCAGGAGGAAGCAGACTTTCCCCCTCATTGCTAAGGTAAAGTTTATGATTTTTACTTTCAGGTTGCCTTTAAAACTCAAACTGAAGGAAGCACAGTGCACTGAAAAGTGATGCCCATGTATATAATAGAAGGACTAACAATGTCTATGCAACATTTTGGAACAAGTGAGAGTGAGGTTCCCAGATGGAGTTTACAGAGTTGCGAGACTCACTCCCCAATTACTCCAAAATGCAGCCCAAACTCCAGTCCAAGCCACACGTTCAAAACACTGTCTACATAGTTATTTTCAGCGTACTAGCATGAACCTTGCTAGACTATGTCTTTTGACACCAGCTGAGAAGCTCACTCTTGCTTGCTCCAAAATGTTGTGTAGACATACCCAATGTGGACAGAAACACTACAGTGACTTCATTCTAATGTGAATGTGACACCAATTTTCAAAAAGAGTGACACCAATTTTCAATGTGAGCTCTAGAGGCAATCCTGGCAATTACAGACGGGTAAATCTAACTTCAGTACCAGGCAAATTGATTGAAACTATAATAAAGATCAGAATTGTCAGACACATAGATAAACATAATTTGTTGGGGAAAAGTCAACATGGTTTCTATAAAGGGAAATCATGTTTTGCTAATCTATTAGAATTCTTTGAGGGGGGTCAAGCATGTGGGAAAAGGTGATCCAGTGGATATAGTGTAATTAGATTTTCAGAAAGCCTTTGACAAGGTCCCTCACCAAAGGCTCTTAAGCAAAGTAAGCTGTCATGGGATAAGAGGAAAGATCCTCTCATGGATTGACAACTGGTTAAAAGATGGGAAACAAAGAGCAGGAAAAATGGTCAGTTTTCAGAATGGAGAGCGATAACTAATGATGTCCTGTAGGGGTCTGTACTGGAACCAATCCTACTCAGATTGGTTAAACAAAGATACAATAGCTCAAATGCAACTGTTGCTATCATAATGCTCAAAAGTGTTGAAAAATGTTACTTCTTGCTTACAACCCGGCTGACCATAGTGAAGCAGAGATGCTGTCTTTTGCATGCAGAAAGCTTTCCTTCTGAGTCAAAAGCGGCCAAAACAGTGACAAAAATATATTGATTGTGTATGCCATTTTAATTCAAGAACTATAATTCTAGATTTAGCACAAATTGTACTTGTCTTAATAAGGGGCTATTTAGATTTTTATTTGCTGTGCCAAGCTCTGGCTCAAATACCAGTCCAGTCAAAGTGCTTATATTTTCCGTCACTGCTTCATTTGGCATCTATCAAAATAGCTTTTCCCCTGCAAATATATCCTACTCACTAATGTGGCCCAGGAAATCATGTAGCATCTGAATTTAAGGAGAGTGAATTTAAGAAAGTAATCAACTTAGACAACAGGTCTATTTTAATTCTCGAATTGCCCCCTCTCAACAGGGAAAACTGCAATGAAAAGGTTTCTGAATTGTGTAGGCCAAAGGGAGAGAAGTGCTATGCTGGGGAAACTCAATCAGAGAGAGGGAGGAGAGAAGCAGTAAACCTCACTCTCTCTGAAAGTATACACAGCATAAGAAGCACCAGTGTCATTACATCTGATTAGATTCTGTACCACAGAGAAAACTGTTATAGTATCACCTTGGCAATACCATTTTATACAATTCATCTAAGTACAGTGTTTCTTAAACTGTGTTCTGGGGCACACTGGTGTGCCGCGAGGCAGTGGGAGGTGTGCCGCGGAGAATAACAGAGTTCAAAATGGCTGCACTTAAAGGGGCAGGCAACCTTTATTTTTGTTCAATAACTTCCCCCCCACACCAACCTGTTTTTTTTTTTCTCAACAAAAAATCCTTGGTGTTCCTCATTTCAAAAAATTATTGTTTGGTGTTCCTCGGTCTTAAAAAGTTTAAAAAACACTGCTCTAAGTATATCATCTCATGCTGTGAGTCTATCAGATTTCATAAGTTAAGCAGGGTCACGTTGGGCTGGAAGCAAACACTTCAAGGAGCTCCTGGTTTCTAAAGGAAGTATTGTTGGTGCTTCAGTATGTGGCACTCTGCTCTTTGAGGATTTGTCTGCACACAAATGTTGCTCTTCTGTAGACACTCATACGTTGGTTTAAACTTCGCTTATATGACTTCAGCCTATAGTGGTGTTGCAATTAGATGATGAATGCACTATAAATTAACATAAGAGGTAAGTAAATAAATACTTACAAGTACAAAGGGTTTGTATTGGCTAGTTGGACAACCTCAGTTTTTACAGGTTCAACAGCTATAAGTATGTCTTGCTCTATAGCCATAGGGAGCACAGCATATCCACAATAGTCTATATGTTCTCCTAGAAAACAACAACAAAATAACAGAAAATTAACAGCATTTTGGAATGATTCTTTAAGAACAATTTACTAGATGTTCCATAAACCCACAATTGTGAAAGACCATACTGGTTGAAAATTACCTGGATTACAAAAAAGTGAAGGCAGATATAAAAAAATGAAACCTGTGCAAGAAAAGCTAAGGTGATGATATTAATAAATATAAATCAGAAGCTAAGAATCGTAGACAACAGATATGGGAAGCAAAGGACCACAAGGAGAAATCTAGGGCTAGGAATGTTAAGAACAATAAGAGGTTTTTAAGTATATTGGGAACAAAAAGAATCCTGACAATAGTATTAGTCCATTACTAGATGGAAATGGTAGAATTATTAATAATATAGAAAAGGTAGAAGTGTTCAATAAATAATCCTGTATTGTATTTGGGAAAGTCAAAGATAATGTAGTATCCTCATCAGGTGATGATATTCTTTCCATTCCACTAGTATCTCATGAGTATGTTAAACAGCAGCTACTAAAGTTAGATTTTTTTTAAATCATTAAATCTGAATAAAGGAGCTGGCTGAAGAACTTAATGAACTTAATGAACTTAATGAACTTGTTGATTTTCAATAAGTCTTGAAACACTGGGAGAGTTTCAGAAGACTGGAAGAAAAGAAAGCTAATGTTGTCCCATCACCCACTCCCCTCCTATCCCACAATGGAGATTCTGCGGCAACTCAGACTAAGATATATTGACTCCACCTATGGTATTCACGTAGCTAGAATTGTATGCCTTAGGTCAGCATTGCCCTGTAGTGCAGAACTGCCTTATGAATCAACAGACTCACATTAATCTGGGTACGATAATGGAGCATCTGATACAGGACTCATTAAAGAATTAAAGGAGGTTTAATTAATGCCAATCAACATGGATTTATGGAAAACAAATCCTGTCAAATTAACTTGATATCTTTGTTTTCTGAGATTACAAGTTTGATAAACATATATAACAGACTTCTGTACAATATTTGAATTGTACTGCATGGTATTTTGATGAAAAAGTAGACTAATATAAAATTAATATGGCTCTACTGACCAGATTAAAATCTGGCTAAGTGGTAGATCTCAAAATATAATAGTCTATGGGGAATCATTGTCAAGCAGGTGTATTTCTTGGCCCTACACCATTTGACTTTTTTATCAGTGACCAGGAAGGAAACATTAAATCATCACTGATAATGTTTGCCAAATTATACACAAATAGGGAGAGTGGTTTTTATGGGGCATCTCCTCCACAATGTGCTCTCAAGAGTTAACAGAATCCTAGAGAGGATGCACAGGAGGCAGCCAATCAGAGTAGGGCTTAGAGGAGCAGCCGATCAGGGCCAGGCTGGCCCACATAAGAAGAGCAGAAAAGAGCAGTTTCAGTCACTTTCTGGAGCTTGAGAAGGGAGGAGGACTGGTTTGCCTTTCAGATAGAGGGCAACAAGCACCCTAGACATAGCAGTGCTACATGCAGAGACCCACAGAGCTAAAGGCAGCTCCTGGAGGACTGCAGGAATCTGCAGGCTGAGACCCTGAGGCATGCAAAAGAGGGTGCTGGGGCTGTGGGGAAGTGGATGAAGGAGATCTACAGGGGAACTAAATGAGACACAGCAAGTGGCAGCCTAGGCTGTGATTGGAGTAGTGGGCAGGCCCACGTACCCTCTGCCCACTTTCAGCACTGAGGAAGTGGTTGGACTGAGGGACTGTGGTATTGTCCCGAGAAGGGAGGAACATAGAGTCTGGAGGGCTATGTCATGAAGAGGGTGCTGTGGTCGTGGGGTGACATTGGTCTCTGGAGCAGAAGTGATGCTGGCCAGACATCACTGGAAGAGAACACACTGGCATACAGAGCTAATCTCCAGAACAGCTGGCAGGAGGAGCCACAGTGGAGAGCAGCATCCTGTCATAATGATAAATAATGAAAAGGACAGGTTACTAATACAGAGTGATCTGGTTTGCTTAGTAAACTTGGCACAAGCAAATATGTGTTTTGATTCAGCAAAACATAAATGTGTGCATCTGGACACAAAGAAAGTAGGCCATCCTTATAGTATGGGAGACTTCATCCTGGGAAGCAGTAATTCTGAAAAAAAATTGGAGGTTATGGTGGATAATCTTTCGAACATCAGCTCCCAGTGCAATGCTATAGCCAAAAGAAATAATGCAATTTTGGAATGCATAAATAGGGGAATCTCAGATCAGTGTAGAGAGGTTATTTTATCTCTGGCACTGGTGCAACTGCTGCTGAAATATTATGTCCAGCCCTGATGTCCACAATTCAAGTAGGATGTTCATCAAGTGGAGAGGATTCAGAGAACAGCCACAAGAATGATTAAAAACCAACTTTATAATGATATACTGACCAGAGTAAGTCTATCTAGCTGAACAGAGAGAAGATTAAGAGGTGACTTGATGTCAATCTATAATTACCTAAATGTGGAACAAATAATCTTCAATCTAGCAGAGAAAGGTAGAACATGACCCAATGGCTGAAACTGAAGCTAGACACATTCCGAGTTAAAATAATTTACCATTGGAACAATTTATCAAGGAGCATGGTGAATTATCTAGTACAGGCAATTTTGAAATCAAGATTGGATTTTTTTAAAGATATGTTTAAGGAATTATTTTAGGGAAGATCTAGGGGCTTGATTAATATAGAAGTTCCAACCCGATGATCTCAGAGACCCCTTAAGACTTTGGAATCTATGAATCAGCAGCAGAAGAAACACCCTGGATACAAATGGCTAGTGTAGGAATGCAGAACTGCTTCACGTCTGAGGCAATTTTTGCCAGACATTTCAGAAAATACATTTTACAGCTTTTATTGCTAAAATCCCAACTGATAGACTATTCTGCACTTTTTAAATTTTATACTAATGCACCAAAGCTTTAAATTTCTATAACGTTTTAGAAACTTCATTTCTTTCTAAACCTTTAGGTTCCTTAACAAAATTACAAGGTAGACAGTGATCTGGCAGTTAGAGTAGAAAATCTATGTGTGCTTGATGTGTAATTGGTAAAATTAGTAAGACATGCAAGTTAAATTATTTCTCTTTCACCTGTGGTTGGTATATAGCAAAGAAAAATGAATAAATTTCCTGCAACGACTTCTGCTCATGTCAATGATTCATCATCCACTGGATAAGCCTTAAGCAGGAATTTATTTTTCATCCCATATCTGCACTTTTTCCAGGAAAATAATAATATTGAATCATCATTATAAGAACTGTTCATAAGATACAAAATAGCATTAAATGAAGAAAATAGAGATAGCAAGTACCTTTTCTCTTAGGAATAATTTTCAGGCAACATCTGTTCTCCACTTTAATTGTCTTACATGACAGATGTTAACAGAACAATAAGATAAAAATTGTTATTGACTGCACAGTGGGCTAATTAAATTTTTTAATATGCATGAAATGGGTGTACAAATTCCACACTGGACCCAAAGAGCATAGGCATCAGTATAAGAGGCAGGGGAAGACAATGCCTTCCCAAACCGTCAGCCCAGTCCCAAATATACTCTCCAGCTCCCACCTACCTTCAGTGCATCTCCCCCAGTCTCCTGGGGCTGGCTGGGCTTCAGCCCTGCCAAGACTGAAGCTATGCTGGCAGCCCTCCCAAAGCTGGGGAGGTTTTGGGCCAGGTGCTGCCCATGCTCTGGGATGAGGAAGACCGCTCACCAAGTGCATTCCAGGGCCAGGGATAAGGTGGCCATGCGACTCCCCTCCTTATGCTCCAAGGAAGACCAGGCCAGGAAAGGCTGGGGCCTCCTGCTGCCTGCTTTCCCTCTCTGTCATGTTCCTTCTGGGGCTGGGGCTGCATGCTGCCTGCTCTCCCCTCTATCCTGTGCTCCTTGGCTAGGTGGGAAGGCTGGGGCTACACGCCATCCACTGGTGGAGGAGTGGCCTGCCCCTACAGTAGAAGGGGGGGCTTGGCTCCTACGGAATCTTAGGTAGCAGGGGTGGGGCTTTAAACAAAAGGAGCAAGGCTGAGGGGCTTGCCTCCCCCAGCCTTGGGCTCACCCACTACCTATGCCAAAAAGGTTAAAGAACAGTTCTGAGCTCAGATACCCCAGTCCGTCGAGACCTGCAGAGCATGCTGCAGCGGGAGATGAAACTTAAAAAGGAGGAACAACACAACTCAATCAATGACAAGTTGGGGAGAAAGACAGACCTAACCTGAGGGCTCCTGGACAAGAATACTGAAAAAGCTTTTGTATGGGACTGCACACTGAGCCCAGCTGGAGTTAAAGGTCTAGTTTGTCTTTTCTTCTGTTATGTTATATTGGCACCTTGGAGCAGTGGAAGGTAGGAGAAGGCCATGTTGTTTGTCCCACAAAGGGCAGGGCTGGGGCTAGGCAGCCCTCAGTGCTGCCCAGAGTGCGCCATGCAGTGCTCCAGCAACAATTTAATGGCCCTAGAGCTCTGGGCCCTTTTGTATCACTGGGGCCCAGAGTAGTTGCCCCTTTTGTCCCACTCCATCAGCAGGCCTGTGGAGGAGAGAGAGATGGTAGGAAATGATCCAGAGAGAGTCATTCTGAGGGCACTCCGGGATGCTGGACACTGCTGAATCTCATAGGGTATGTCTACACTACCACCCTAGTTCGAACTAGGGTGGTAGTGTAGACATACCCATAGGGCTCTGAATGGGACCCAGCGGCATAGGTGCTAGAACTAGGGATATAGCAGCTTGAAGTAGTTTCTATTATAGGGTTTACAGTTTCATTCTCTCAGCATCCGCACTATACAAATTCTTCCAGCATCTCTGGCCAGTAGAATTGCAGGTGAGGCATAAGCTACATTCCACTCTCACTCCCCCTCTGATAAAATGGCAAGGATATTGCAACCAGAGGGAAAGCTAATCCCATCCTCAGATGAGGAGCTGAACAGAAAGGCCTTCCGGCGGAGAGGTTTTCTGAGAACTCTATTACAATGTATTTTCCATGATCTGCAGCAATAATCCTTTCACAGAGAAAGTTGACTGACTGGCTGAGTCATCATATTCTAATTACACAGGGAACTGAACTCTAGAAAGGGCATGATCGTAAAATAAAAATGGGCGTCTCCCAGAATGAACCCACATTTTAAAAAAATACATATGAAATAACCATGTTTATTCTACAAGCCAAGTTACTATTCTAACCTCCATGGGCTCCAACTATGAAGAATTTCTTCAGAATGAGAGAAGGAAAACTATGTCAGAACATTTCCAGCTCTCATCAAAACATAGCATTCTGTGCCAGGATACATCACCATGTCTGAAGATTTAAACTGTGGTGGTGAGAAAAGATGTAGATTGATTTCATTATACCCACATTTCTCAAACTGTGGTTCCCAACCCCCCAGGGGATCGTGAGCAACTTAGAGGGGGGTCGCAGTATCACAAAGTTTGAGAACCCCTGCATTATACCATTTTACCATCTTCAACTGTAGCACCACCAGTTGAGTTAGACTGAGCTGCAGAAACAAAGGCTATGTCTATACTACTAAATAATTTTGAAATAGGTTATTTTGAAATAACAACTCATGGAATAACTATTTTGAAATAAGTTTATTTCTCTCACAAGCAGGAGTTATTATTTCAAAATAACGGGCTGGATAGTGTGGATGCTTGCCTTCGTTATTTCAAAAAAAAGGGAGATATACCCTAAGGTAGGGAAACGAGCCCTAAACTTGACCAAGAAAGACATTTTTAGGCACCAAGTCAGAAAAGTATTTTTGTCCTCAAGTCCATCTCTATTCAAGATGGCACTTAAAATATAAAATTAAGCACATCTTAAATAAAGATGCTATCCTGAATTGTGACCTTAATGTGAAATACAGGTTGTAATAATACAAAGTTAAAAACTAATGAAGTAATACTTCCTCCTGACCATATATGACTTAATGTCAAGCACAGGCACCTCTTGACCAAAAATAAATATATCATAATCATTAGGTTGTATATTTGGAATTTGCCATAAATTTAAAGAGAACAATATTCTCCTTTTACCTATCAAGTTGACTCTTCCTGGTGCACGGGCATAAAACTTGGGAGCCGATCCAAATTTAGAAATAAACATCTTCTTCAGCTTCAGCAATCTGAAAGGCAGGTTGGAATCCATTAGAAGGAGTACAATGGAAAACCTAGATTAACATATTGATACTGAATTCAGCCTTTGATGTAAACTGGCACCACCTCCATAGAATCATAGAATCATAGGACTGGAAGGGACCTCGAGAGGTCATTGAGTCCAGCCCCCCGCCCTCAAGGCAGGACCAAGCTCTGTCTACACCATCCAGGCACCATGCTCCTGGGGTTGAGGCGCTAAGGAAGCGGCAAATGGGGCCAGCTTTAGCCACAGTGATACTGAAGGGATACAGTATGTTCAGCTGAGACACCCCCCACCCCCAGTGCTTTGCATAGATGGAGAAAGGTGGCATTAGCTTTGTACCCCAGGTAGATGGAATCTGAGCCTTATTTTCCATTGGAAAAGTCCAGCAGATTGGAATGGGGCAAGATTTCATACAGAGTGGTTAATGATTTGCATCCTAATTACTGAGTAATTCAAGGGCAGAATTGGGGCTAGATTAGAGGTAGCTTGAAATTCAGGGTATGTCTATTTTTACTGGAAGATTGACACTCTGGCAGTTTAATTTAGCGGGTCTAGTATACACCCGTAAATCGAATGCTAAAGGCAGTTCCTGCCAGTGTTCAGCGCTCCTCTCTTTGTGAGGAGTAAGGGAAGCTGATGGGAGGCTTTTGCTCCTGTCAGCCTCCCTCAGTGTGGACGCCACCACGGCTCATCTTAAGGTAAGATTACTCCAAGTATGCATTTTGCGTAGCTGCAGTTGTGTACCTTAAGCCTTCCTTCCAGGTTCAGTGTAGATCTGCCCTCAGTCCACTAACAGCTTAGCCCTGCCATATTATCTGTGGGCAGAAGAACCCACATTTCACTTTAGCTGGGTTGTGAGCAGCTGTAAGGATCCACCCATGTGGATCTCTAAGGTGCTACAGGACCATTGTTGTTTTTAAAATTTTGTTAGTTACAGATTAACATGGCTACCTCTCTGAGACTTTCAAAATGGTTATAGTATTACATTCACAACACAACTTTCAATGGCTTTTTAGTCTCAGATATAACTAGAACTAGTACCTATATACATTTTTATATTACCAGATTATTTAATTTACAAAGTACAGCAATGAAGGGAGAACATTAAATCCTTTCTTTTACGAAATTGCAAATATTCCATGGAGTTGCTTCATAGTATCCTACTACAGTTTTCACTTTGTCTATACAGGGCTTTATAGTGTGGCTACTTTACAAAGATACAAGGAATTTAGCGTCTACACTATAGATACAGGCACACATACATTGTCTCATAGATACCGCAAGAGGAAAGTCCAAATCCTGCTTTCACATTAACAAGTACAACTCTCACTGAATTCAGTGTGCTGTGTGCAAGTATCTAAAGTCAATTTGGCTCAATGACTTTAAAGACTTACCAGAAATTATTTCTGATGCAGTAATATTTATAGTATAGATTCTTTAACTATGTAAAGAAATTTCAATGAGGTTCAAGAATAAGGCTCCCTTGGGTCATTAATGGTGCAGGCCAGTGTTTTTCAATTTCAGGCCTGTGGACCCATGTCGTCCACAGACTATGTCCATGAGGGTCTGTAAAAGGTCATTGTTGCCATAGAACAGTGATTTTTCAACTGTGATCTGTGGACAACATGGGGGTCCACAGAGTACATCTAAGATTTCCAAAGGGGTCTGACCTACATTTCAAATTTTTAGAGGTTAACAACAACTCTCTGACTATGGTTATCCAGCCAATTATGCACCCATCTTATTGTGGCCCTATCTAAGTTATATTTGCCTAGTTTATCAATAAGAATATCATGCGAGACCGTATCAAATGCCTTACTAAAGTCTAGGTATATGACATCCACCGCTTCTCCCTTATCCACAAGGCTCGTTATCTTATCAAAGAAAGGTATCAGATTAGTTTGGCATGACTTGTTCTTCACAAACCCATGCTGGCTATTCCCTATCACTTTATTACCTTCCAAGTGTTTGCATATGATTTCCTTAATTACCTGCTCCATTATCTTCCTTGGGACAGACGTTAAACTGACCGGTCTGTAGTTTCCTGGGTTGTTCTTATTCCCCTTTTTATAGATGGGCACAATATTTGCCCTTTTCCAGTCTTCTGGAATCTCCCCTGTCTTCCATGATTTTTCAAAGATCATAGCTAAAAGCCAATGAAGTCAATGAAGTTGGGTTCACTTACAGCAACAGCTAATCATCATGTAGCATTGATTTGTAATAACAGAAGGAAAGGAATACTTGAATGTACTAAGTAGGAAGAACATTCTTGCTTTAAAATGCAAGTAACTGAAAACAAAATCGGAAGTGTAAACATTTGTAGCACTAGCAAGCCAGATGGCCAGATCTTCTCAAGGTTTAGGCTTCAGACAAGAACTGACAAATCTGAGGCTGGAAACCAGCCTGTTCCATTTGGGTGTTAGTATGATTAAGATAAGTACTGAAATTATAATAACCTGTTTAGTGTTAAGACTATAAAATGCTTGTAAGTTTCTGCATGTAAGTTGATCTCATTTATAATATCTTTATCAAATGCTATATTTAAGGTTTGCTTTATAACTGTAAAAACTGTTTGACTATGTCAGAAGGGATCATCGTCTGCTCATCCCGGTGGCAATCAATACCAAATGGGTCATTGTGGAATACTACCATACAAAGATTGTTTATTGCTCCTTCACACCGATTAAGAAGCTACATGAAAAAGGGCTTGAATTCTGGAAGAAGGAAATAAAAATAGCGACACAAAATTTTTAAATCTTTTTGGCTTGTTTGGACTCTCACAGAGCCAGAGCTACAAAACAGAAGCAAAAACAAGTCCAATGGCACCTTAAAGACTTGGTGCCACTGGACTCCCTGTTCTTGCTGAAATACAGGCAGTCCCCAAATTACGCGGATCCGACTTATGTCGGATCTGCAGTTACGAACGGGGTTTGCTGCCCATCTCCCTGGTCTGCTGGAGACCAGCAGACCAGGGAGACGGGAAGCAAAGCCTCTGAGGACGCCGGCAGCGGGACAGCCGCGGCGTGTCTGGGCTGTCCGCTGCCCGCGTGCTCCGCGGCTTTGCTCCGACGCCTGTGGTACAGCAGCTGGGGCGCTGCCGGGTG